TTCGTAAAAATCGTACCTTTTTATTTTTGGGTGCTCTTGAATTCGCAACTTTTTGTTATCGATAAGTTCCATTTTCCACATCGTTTCCAGCATTCTTAAAAGCCATCCTTTGAAGGTATGCAACAATTATCGCACATGTATCGTCCGCACCAAATCGTAAATCTTCGTTGCTTCGATAAATTTTCGTTGCCCAAAACGGAGATGTGTATAATAAATAGTGAATTAAACAAATAAAATCAACATAAGAAGTTAATTTTAGGACGCTAAAAATATCGCAAGATATAATGGGCATAATCAAAAATAAATTTAAACTAAGCTAGCTTGTTATTTATGTTAATTTTGCCATTTACTTTTCATTCCACCGTCTCATCGGCAACCGATTTGAAACCGCAAAAATTTGCGAATATTGGAGCACGTAATTTTGCGATCTGAAAACTAAAACCCGGCTGATAATTGAGTTTCAATTTCGCAAAATGGAGCCGAGTGAAGGTAACTTCAAAAACTGTACCAATATAGAACGCTTTTGAGATCAAGTAAGTTTGATTAAAAATTGATTGGGTGAAGCGGCTTTTGGGGAATTGTGTGATTTAGTTCATAACATTTTTAGTCTGCCTCACAGTTCCGCAGCAGCTGAGCGCAAATTTTTTGATTTAGCATTAATAAAAACGAAATTAAGAAACAAGTTATAATTTACAACTTTAACTAAAATAATGTACAATAATGTACAATTGTAATGCACATGGGATGCAATAAAAAAAAGTAAGTGCGCCTGGGCCACACTGTAGAAGTGAAACTTACGTTACTTATTTATCTATACATACACACATCTGCTTTTATTATATTATATGCTTAAGGTTATATTTTTTCTATCAATGTAGATCCCTACCTCTACCACTGTTCGCTTTAATAACGTTCATGTTATCCATCATCATGTTCCATTATCTTCATACTCTATCGATAACAAAATCGATTATAACGTCCATGAAAATATTGATAACAAAATCGATAAATATCGATAACAAAATCGAGAAAAATCCATAAATATCGATAACAAAATCGATAAATATCGTTAACAAAATCGATGAATATCGATAACATAATCGATTAAATCGATAAATATCGATAACAAAATCGATAAATATCGCTAACAAAGTCGGTAAAAATCGATAACAAAATCTATAATTATCGATAACAAAATTGGTAAATATCGATAACAAAATCGATAAATGTCTCTAACAAAGTCGGTAAAAATCGATAACAAAATCGATAACAAAATTGGTAAATATCGATAACAAAATCGATAAATATCGATAACAAAACCGATAAAAATATCGATTATTTTATCGATTGGTCTCGAGAATCCAGAAAATCTCTAAAATCCCAAAATAGTTCCCAGATTGAGTCTCTGTGTCTCTCTCTCAATCCTTTCCTCTTTAATTACCTTTATTTTAATCTTTCTTCCCTTATCTTCATCTTTACTTTTATCGGTATCCTCATCCTCCTCTTTGTCTTTACTTTTATGTTTATCATTTTCTTCAGCTACGTATTCCCCTTCACCTTTGCCCTTATATAAGTGAAGTGTTTAAATTTACCTTGGTCTTCATTTTTGCCTATATCTTTACGCATCTTTGTTTTTGTTTTTATTTTTACCTTTGCCTTTATCCTTTTCTTTATCTATGTACGTATTCACCTTTACTTTCATTCAGTGATGCCAGATTGTGGGTAATTTCCCTATTTGAGGGATATTTTGCATGCAAAATTATTGGGAAATTTCATATAAATAAGGGATTTGCTTTTGACGCAGTTATTGTTGCATAATTGATCAAAATTCAAGAATATTCGACATTTTTACGTAATTAATCGTTCTGAAGATGTGATGTGGAGTGAAATGGTATATAATTGTTAAAAAGTATAAGGACAATTTCGAAAATTATCTTATGTTAACCAATTCAAGCGCTGAGTAAGAAAGAATCTTTTCAGTTGTAACTAGTGTTTCATGTAAAAAGCGGAACAAATTATCTGATGAAATGTTAAATAGCACATGAATGTGCTTCAATTTTTAAGGCACCAAAAAATTCTTTTAGACCCTTAGTGAGTGAGCAAAAAAATCAAAGTGAAAAAATTAATGAGTGAAAAAAATGCAGAAAAAGGGGTTTTTCTTAACAGCGGTCGGCCCTCGGCAGGCAATGGCAAACCTCCGAGTGTATTCCTACTATGAAAAACTTCCTCTCATAAAAATACACTCGCCATTCGGAGTCGGCGTAAAACTGTAGGTCCCTCCCCTTTGTGTGACAACATCAAGGGGACCGCCACAAATTGGAGGAAAAGCACATATATGTAAGCGCCAAACTATTATTATTATTTTATATGAATTTTACTTCTTTACTACTGAAACATGTATATGTTTAAGTTCGTTTGGAATTTTGTGGGATAAATTTTCAAGATGTGGGTAATTGAGGGATTTTTTCCCCATTTTCGTGGGATTTTTAACAGAGAATGTCTGGCATCACTGCTTTAATTCTTGGATTGGTCTTTTTCTAAGTGTTATTCTTTAACCTTTTATTAGCAAATTTTTGTTAAATTAATACCATGTGCATAACCACAAGAAGCACTTGTTTCAGCCCCAACCATTTCCGTTGCACCATTCCCAATGCAACATTGCCGTTGCATCATTTCCGTTGAATTTGCCAATTTACTCCCAACCAACTAACCGCCGCTAAAGAAGTTTCACTTCAAAAATCGTTATAAAAACTGAATTGGCATATTTTCTTGATCAAAAGGAACAAACTCCACTCAATTTCTCGATGTAATAAAAATTGGTAAATTTTTTACCATTTGGTTCATTATTTTGTCCGAAAAATTAAATGGAAATGGCATGTGAAAAAAGTCACTTCCGTGAGTGCGGACGCGAGGTAGTAAACGTATATTGTTCATATGCCATGGCGTATGAGTTATCAATCAACATCAATATTTAGTGCGGTTACGCATCCAACCTTGTCTTATTCACCTCGGTTTGCTGTTTGTTTGCAGATTTTTGCAAATAGTTGAAAATTTAACAAACTTTTACGGAAATAAGAACAGTAGTGCTTTGGTTTACGCAACTAACTTTGAATCCCCAAAACCCCTACACTCAGAAGAAGGTCTAGTTATAATAACCAAGATTTGGTTATAGTGACCAAGTGGCATAGTTGGATATGGCGGAATAAATATCTAGTTCACGAAAGTCTGCAATTTACTTGAGACTTCTAGTTGGGACAAATGTATGTATATTTGTTAATAATTAAAAACCGACTACCTTGAGTGGACAATATTGTTAGTTGAATCAAATCATTGTTGAGCAAATATAAACAATGCTTTGGTTGATACAAGTTTTCAATTAATTTTGTGAACTTGCTGTAGACGTGAATCAGCTAACCGTTTATTTTTGGAAAAAAAGTTTCAGTTTGACACAAATAAAAATTTACTCGATGGTTGCTGTGTTTACTTCTTTTATTTGCATATATTAAGCATAAAAAATACATACATATTTACATAAATAGTCACTAGTGTAAATAATACATATATATATGGTGGTAAGAATCTCCTAAAAAGAAACGATGAAACAGGAATAGTCGTGCGAAAACCCAGGTCAATATCTGCTGGAAGTGCTGGTTTAAGTATACTGCTTTGCTTTTTCCTTGGCTAAATAGATACCTTCAAATTATAATTCACATGAATTATATATCCACTGAGAAACCCCGGTTGGCATCAAACTTTATCACAGTGTTGCCAAGTTTTGAATTTGAATAAGCACTAAAACCCCCAAAAAAAATCGCGGTTTTTCTAGAAAAAAACACCAAATTTTTTACTGGAGGATTCAATTGACTTTGTATGCATACAAAATTTTATTGTAGGTATGTCGATTCAAATAAATAAAAATTAATGTTTCTTCCTCGGCGGTCGAAGGATCGTTATTCATTTTACTGTTAGGATATGCTGGTGCTTATTGTAATATTCGTAGAAAATATAACAAATTCAGCCCGAATTAAAGGTCTAAAGATCTATTCCTGGTCCCAGCAACATGGATTTTTTACAGGCAATAGCAAATTACCGTATGTAATTCTGGCATGATTTAAAGTTCTACCACATATTTATTTGGCAAACATAGGCCCTTTCGCTTATGATTGTCATTGTGCCATGATTTTTGTTGGTTTTGTAAAGTTTCTTACGAAACCTCCAATTGCTCTAAATTTAACTTCCATTTTGTTTCAGATTTACAGTTTTGGTGTCTTTAAACTAACAAAAAAGCACCAAGCACCAAACTCAAAAATTTTCGCGTTTTGAATTAAGAAAAGCACTAAATTTAGTGCGAAAAATATCGAAGGTATAGAGAATACGCGGGAGTTAGCGCAACAGGAAAATGAGGAAAAATCAAGCAATGACGAGAATGAGAGATCGAGCGTGCACAATACCCCTGCTCCTATTCCTAATGTAGGCAGCACACCAAAACGTCGCCAGGAGCCTAGCTTCAATGAGTGCATTAAAAAATACATGGGTGAAAAAATCAACGCGATGGCATCGATGGCGGAAGACCTAAAAAAAATTTCAGAAGACAAAGAGAATGTGCGCGCAATAAAAGATATAAAATATGAACTCAAAGTGCTGAATCGCAAATTTAAAAAATTTTACGAGAATGTAGTTAGTAGTCTCGAAGAGAAGAAAAGACACCACCTCAAAATAGAGAAAATTCGAGAGGGAGAACTTGAAATAAAGCGGAGGAAACTGGAGCTTCAGGAGATAGAAATTAACATACTTTCAGAAAAGAAAAAGGCTGAAATGTGATGGTTTGTATTGCACAAAACGAATTTCTGATGAGGCTGCTGAACCTGAAGTGGAAAATGCTATGTGCTGTATTTTTTTTTTAATACTTGAATACTTAGTGCATTTTTAGACGAATAAGCTTCTTTTATTTTTATTTTTGTAATAAAGTGAATATTTTTCTTTAAGTTTTTATTAAAAAATTACAATAAGTTTGCTATATAGTCCCTTAAATTGGATGCATTTCCCTCATCCGGTGTACGACTTTTGGGGGCTGGTATTGTAACGGTATTGTGACGAGCTAAGCATTTAAACCGGCTTTTTAATATACCAATCGTCCTCTCTATTATGTTGCGTGCGGAAGCGTGTCGTTGGTTGAACCTGTATTGCACTGTCCCAGGCTGTGGATCACGATATGGTGTTAGTAAGTACGGTTGAAGGGGGTAGTCAGCATCGCCCAAAAGCCTGTCTCCGCGCTCGCCGTTCTCATAAGATTGGGAAAAGTAGGTGTGTGATTTGCTTACTCTCCAAATCAAAGAGTCGTGGCAGGACCCTGGGCGCCGGGCATCCACTGCCTTTGTCATCATTTGGTAATCGCAAATCTGGAAAAAAACAAAATTAATTAAAAAAGCATGTACATATATGAAATTTTACTTCTTACAATCATAGCGTTAATGCTAAAATATCCTTTTCTATTGTAAACAAGTAAGAAAGTCTAAGTTCGGGCGGAGCCGAACATTAAATACCCGGCGCAATTATTAAATATATGTTTTCCACCTTTCCGAAAGCTACCGCTACACGATAAGCCGGGGTGTATAAATTTAAATAAATTAGCGTCCTTAAATTTCGAAATATTGCAGTTTCAAGCATTTCTGAAATATACCGTTATATGAAAAGCGGTCGTAATTTTAGTCCGATTTCACTAATTTTCAACGCTTTGCTTTTATGTGGCAAGCACAATAACCACACCGAGTTTGGTTCAAATTGCTAGAACGGTTAGCGAGATACATATATGTGATCATAAGTGGGCGGT